TGTTTAAAGTAAAATCAAGTATTTTTTTTTTTTTTGTATCGTCTTATTTTTTTCTATTTATTGTATGTTGCTCATCCACGCGATGAAGATTATACTTTAAGATATTTGGTCATCCATTCCAACAAAATGTTATAATTGCTTTATTCGGAGATTGATAACTAAAAATTTTAAGATTAAGACTTTAATTAGTTCGGGCTTTTAAAAAACACAATTCTTAAGGCGATGTAGTTATACTTAATAAAATTTTTTAGTGATATAACCAAAATATAGTTGTGGTTTGTATTGGAGCAGCATATCTTAGAAAAACATAAAGAGGTAGTTCTAAGGCAAAAAAAATAGTCCTAAAATAACTTAATACATATGATAAGTGGATGATTTTAGAGGTCGATGAACCATATCATGTTTTTATTGTGTAATATCTTATCACGAAATTTAATGTGATAAAAAAAAAACAATTTGGAGGAATAAAATTTTAATGCAATTCTATTATTATTATTGATGATTTCATTTTTTTGTGTAGCATATGTGTTTTAGGGGTCTTTAATAAATATTTGCATAAAGTATTAATTAGAATAATAAGATTGCATTGCATGAAGTACTTCAAGGATTATGGAATTGATCGTTCTCATTTAGAATTAGAAAGAAGTTATATGGAAAAACCAATTTTATTGTAATATTGATTCAAGAGGGGGAACTACTAAAAGTATGGCTCATTGTGTGAAATAAGAGACTTAGAATATTATATTTATGGGGATTCATAATGGATGGTTTAGGTTCAAAATTAAGAAACAAAAAATGGTATATAAAATTTGATTTACATGGAGGATTATAAAATTAAAGAAGATATTCAAATATTGAGACTTTTGAAATGCTAATTTCTTAGATTTAGACCTCATTAATATTTTGCTATGAATAAAATTTGATTTACATGGAGAATTATAAACTTAAAGAAGATATTCAAATATTGAGACTTATGAAATGCTACTTTCTTAGATTTAGACCTCATTAATATTTTGCTATGAGCTTTGTTTTCTAATGAAGTGAGCAGGATTAAGCATTTATAGCTATATATATTGATAGGTCCTTTAGGTTTTGTAAACCAAACTATAGTTAGAAAATTTCATTACATATTCTCAAAAATAATGGTTACAAGATTAGAAAATTAAAGAGATTTTCATGTAGCAAGTTTTCTTTGAGTTTAGATATATCAATTTTAGTATTCCCTTAAAGATGACAGATATAAGATTTTAATATTGTTGAGGGACATCAATATGAATTCCAGTTGACTTTTCCTTTATGGTTGGTATATTAGTGAGGTAATTATTTGTGTTATGTGTGGACTCTAACTGGTAAGGAGAAGTGCCCCAGTATAGTGCAGTGGGCTACTTAGTGCTTAGAGGGCACCCTTGAGCCTATCAGAGGGCAGCTCAGTGCCAAAGCAGGTGCCTTAGTGCCAGAACAGGCGACCAAGTGCCAATGGGGTCCCTAGTCACCCAGCCAAAGGTTCCCAAGTTGAAACTCATCTTCAGTAGGGGCGCTTAGGCGCCTAGAAAACTTTCTAGCTTTTTGGAACAGACTAGAAACTCGGTGTCCGAGGTGGTGCTTAGGTGCTTGTAATAGATTGTTGTAGTTTGTGACTTTATTATTTATGTTTCTTCACTACATGAGATGAGTGTGAATAGTGTGATGTAGTGATGTGAGTTGGTGTTAGATTTATGTGAGCCCTCTTGTGTGAAGAAGAAATGAGAGGAGATTTCATGAGTAGAATAGAGTGCCTTGATTTTGTTGTAATATGTATAATTTCTTATCATTTCATAGTAAATTTCTTGGTGTGGTGTGACTCCATGATTTTTTTTCTTGTTTTTGGATTTTTTCACGTTAAATCTTATTGTTATTTGTGCATTTTTTTGGAATTACTTGTTTGTATGCTTATATTCAAGTGTTTTGTTTCTTATCTCTCAAATTGATTTTCCCTATTTATCTTAACCTCATGACAAGTTGTATTAGGGTGAAATTTTCTAAAGATCTTTGATTTCTATGGGAACAATGACTGACAAAGTAAAGTATAAGGTGGAGAAGTTCAATGGTATGAACTTTGCATTTTGAAAAGTATAAATAAAAAAATTTACAATATCAAAAGAATTTGTAATTGTTATTGGAAGGAATCACGAAGAAGCCTGCAATGTTTACTTTGGAAGAATGAGAAGTGTTTGATCGAACAGCTCTAGATTTGATCCAATGCTCACTTTCCTCATATGTTGCTTTTAACATTGTGAATAATTAAACTATGGTAGATTACATAGTTACATTAACAAGGACGTATGAGAAGCACTCGGGTTCAAAAACAATTTTTCTAATGAAGATGATAAATGACAATTTGGTAATAGAATATTTGAATAATTTGGACACTATGATAAATCAGTTTTGTTCTATGGGCATCAAGTTCTGTGATAAAATCAAACACTATTACTTTTATCTTCGCTGGCAGATAGTTGGGATGGACTAGTCACTGTGATGAGCAACTCTTCAGGTAACATGACATTATACTTTGATAACATTATAGGAATAGTGTTGGATGAAGAATTTAATATGAAAGCAAGCAAAATAGAAGAAAGAATCTTGATAGAAATACATGGAAGGAAAGATTTAAGTCGAAGAGAGGGAATTCTATGTCAGGGAGAGAAAAAGGTAGAGGTGAATGCTAGAACTATGAGAAGAAAGATTGCTTCAAGAAGGATTGTAAATCTCTATAGGTCGGTGGTGGAGATTCAAATAGGAAGCTCTCTAAAAATATCTTCACAGATAAAATCCAAGATAACTCCTAGTTTTATCCATACATAGTACTAATCTTGGATAGTATATTCAAAAGCTTCTTTTTTTGTGTTATATTTATTTATTTATTTATAATCAAAATATCATATGAGATATTTAATTAATTAAAAATTGAATATAAGTACAATACACTGTCACATTAATTAAATAATATTTCTTTATCTAATAAAAATAAAAAATGATATATTATTTAATGATTATAAGAGTTCTTATGTACAATACATTTTTTTTTTTCAAATGGTCAATGAACTCATATGTCTAAGTTGTCAACATTGTAATATGTTATAATAAACTTAAATATCATATAGCTCATAAGATTAACGACTATTTTTCTCATATGAGCTCTTTAATAATTTTGAATATATTTACTTAACTACTAGGCTGGCAAAATCTGGCTGTGGCAAGCGTGGAGCCTTAGTAGACTCCTGATTCAACAAATAATTCTTGCTTCTCATTGAAATGGAAACCATGATTTCCCATAACTCAAAGCCAAAAATGTTTTTTTCTTATATATTTTCTATCTGATTGATCAAATTTGTGCAACATAAAAAAGAACTCCCTTGAGCATTCCATTCAACTTTGATGGCATATTTAAATGATCTTCAAATGGTAGATAATTACTCCAAATACTTGAGTTGTTCGCACAAATAATGAGACTTATTTCATATGATTGGTTAAAAACTCTCAATGATAGGAAAAAAAAAATGTGTGTTCGTCCTCGGTATGCGAGCGACGTGCAGACGACGGACGCAATACACCGATGAAAAAAAACACCTCACCGATCTGTCACATTCGTTTTCAATACGTAGCTCGCGTACGGACATGTATGCAAAATTTTCTACAATGATAAGCCCGTCTTATTAAAACTCGTTATTACAAATCTTGGAACTTTAGTCAATTTCGAAGTCCTCATACAATAATTTTAAGTTTACTGAGTATAGAAATTCTTGCACGCAATAAACGATTGGAGAAAGAACATTAAAATTCATATATCTAAAACTATTTTTCATACTATTCTGTTAATATTATAATGAAATATCATATATCATAAAAGATCAATGGTAGAAATTAAAATAGTAATGACCTCTACACATACCTACTTTGCTTCAAAAGTGGTGGAATCCTTATCCTTAGGTATTTCCCATGCTAGTTTCTATTTGTTTTCCAAAGATCATTTGTCTCTTCTGAGTTAAGCTGCTTCGGTTCATTTTAAAATAGTAATTACAGTATCATACATTTCATGAATATCTTCTTCTTCTCTCTCTTTCTCTCTCTTTAGAGATTCACTTTTTACCATTGACAGTGAAAAAATTTTTGCTTTATTTATTGAGCTGTGTGTCACAGTCCATCATATTTAACAAATTGGCAAGAAAGTCATCGGATGGAAGATTCTAAAAAAGGGACGATGGATGAGTGCAATCTAAGAAATTCTTAGAAGAACTCATTACATTCTAAAAAAGATTAGAAGTAAAAGCTCAACGATATTTCAAGAATAACCTAGAAGGCTCTAAGGTCATATATGCATATAAGAATTGTATAGAACGATCTAGAAACAAGAATAATCTAATGTATTCTAAAAAATTCCTTTGGGCTTGGAGGATACTATAAATAGGAGTCACTCCCCTCATTTGTAACCATCCAAAAAATGATTCAAGGAAACCATCCAAGCTTCCAAGCTTCCAAGCTTCCAATATTGTATTTCTTTCCTAGTAAAGTGTTCTTTTCTGCAATACTTCTCTCTACTCTTCTTCTTAGAGTGTTTTGTGCTTACAAGTCTAAGTGTTGTGAGAGTTAAGTTGATTATGACAAGGGAAAGCGCTAAAACCACACGGGTGACTTGAGATAAGTTAATCCGTGATATGGCTCTCGTTAGTTATCACTCATAAAACAAAAATTATCAATAAAGAAAACTTTAACAAAGCCATGCACAGAACTGCGTCACTATGAGACCAGCCTTGAAATGCTCTACTAATGCAACAAATATGCAACAACTGCCTCATCCAGGAAGCCATCTTCAAGCAATTAATCTCTCCAAACAACAACCAATCCAAAGGATCATGTAATATCATATTATTACAGTCTTTCATTACAACATATTTGGACATTTCCATATAATAAACAAAGTGATACCATATAAACACATCAAACATTATGACATCTAGAAGTACAACAAATATATAAGCAAACCTACACACAAAACATAAAGCATTATACCATCAGCTCAAATCTCAACGACAATCTTACCAGTAGCATGCCCATCTATGCTCTTAGCCCAGGCCTCCTCTGCCTTGCTCAATGGATACGTGGAGTCCACCACTGTTTTCAGCTTCCCCTCCTTCACCAACCCTGCAAGAAACTCCATGTCCTCCTTGTTCGGTGCAGAAAACATTGGCACTATCTTCTTCTTTGCAAAGGTTAGTTTCTTAATAGCAGAGTTCACAAAAGTGATGGGGGATGGAGTTATGTCTATAACCTTGCCATTATCACTCAGATTTGGCTCAAATGTAGACCAATCAATGCCGACCGTGCAGTGCACCACGGCATCGTACTTCTTGCCTGATGGGCTCTTTAGTTTAGCCCCCTCCGAGCTCTTATAGTCGAGCACCTCGTCGGCGCCGAGACTGTTCACGAGCTCTATGTTTCGGGCACCGCAGGTTGCAGTCACATGGATGCCACCAATGAGTTTTGCAAGCTGCACGGCATAGAGACCCACGCCGCCGGATGCAGCTGTTATGAGTACATTCAGAGGTTTTTCAGTGCCATCGAACTTGACTCCGCCAGATTTGAGTGCCTGGAGAGCAGTACAGGCAGCTATGGGCAAGCCTGAGCCATCAGCTGCTGATACTTCAGGTGGTCTGTGCGCGGTTAGGCTAGATGAGGCTACAGCATATTCCGCAAGCCCTCCACCATTCTGGAAGTGAACAATAGGGTCAGATTGTTATAAAGACATTTTACACTTAAGTGTGATATGGAGGGAGAAAAAAAATATGGCAATTACATACATTGCTATTTATAAATTAAGCACACTCTTTCACCTATTTTTTAAAATTGAAAATTCATGACAAACTCCGAACCCATACTTTTCATTTTTATCAAATTTTCAGTGGATTGGTCGTGGCACATGTAAATGCACATAGTTCAAGAAATCACCTGAATGTTTGATTTATAAATATTAATATTTCGTATGATCTACATGTAATTATCCTAGAAAAAGTTTGACCGTGGCACTCGTAAATGCATTAGTTCGGTAGTTAAAAAAATTGTCTGGGTGCTTCATTTGTAAATATCAATGTTTCGGATGCTTTGTATGTAATTATCCTAAATATATCTATAAGAGGCATTTACAAACATGCCACCCAGACCACTATTTATTTGCCACCCATAACACCTAAACCTTAATTTTTAAATTTATACCACATTCCTATTTATTTGCATATATAACACCTAAACCTTAATTTTTAAATTTATACCACCCAAATCTTTCATATCACATCAAAAATACCACTATTTAACTTTTAAAAAGTGAAATTTACTTTTTAATGCATTTTAAAAAGTGAAATAAATTTACTTTTTAATGCATGGGTAAGGTGACATATATGTAAAACTTGAAGTTTAGGTGTCAGATATGTATACATAAAAATTGAGTCGTGTGCATGTAAATCTTAATATTAAAAAATGAATCTGAGGTGAACCTTTAATGAAAGGAAGGATACAACTTTGTCACCGGCTTTGAAATCCTTAACTGCAGAACCCACATCACTAACTTCTCCTGCAACATCACTCACTGTTCCAGACGAGAGTGGTTTCTGAGTTAAGTTTAGATGCATTCGGAAACTTGATAAACAAGAACACAGAAATAAAGTAGAAAGCATAGTAAATTGTTTTGTAAAGATTTAGAGAGATAAAGCTTAATGCCAATTTGAGATCACTGTTGTTTTTTTTCCATTTCTTTTCTATGTATTTACATACATAACCACCAATTACTATGTATTTATTACATTAAAATCACCCAATTATTCATATCATATCAAAAATGCCGCTATTTTAACTTTTTAAAACTGTATTATGCATTTTCATGCACGAGTAAGGTGGCATGTATGCAAAAATTGAAGTTTAGGCATAAAATATGTAAATACATAGATATTGAGTGGTATCCAATACTACATAAGATATGCTTATACTGATGGAAATTTGTCGGAAAAAGATCTATCACCTGGTATGAATGGAAATTTGGGTGGAAGGAATGGTCGCATAGCCCCTTTCTGTATCTTCCAATCAACAGGATTTATGCTAGCCGCCTCCAATTTGAGCAATACCTCATCTTTCTTTGGTGACGGAAGGGGAACCTCTACATGCTGCAGACAAGAAATAATTAAGTCACCAATGAAGATAATGTGCAGAGGTTGGCCAATCCATACCAAAAATATTTAATAGATATCCTTCTGACACAACAATCTCATTAATAATAGATATCTAGAACGCTTCTTAGCTCAGGTATATTCAGAAGTCTCAAAATCTGAAAAGCCAAATTACCATGAGTTTATAAACTGTAACATTTACGTCCGACCAGCAAATTGATTTGAGGCAATGTTTCAGGAAACTTGAGATAATTTCATATATGTGTGTGTCCACACACACACACTAATTTCATATATGCAACAACGAAAATAGAGAAATTACTAAGATTTGGCCAAAATTCTATAATCAATTTGACAAATGCTTAAAATAATTTCATATAAACAACAATGAAAATAGAGAAATTTCTAAGCTTTGGCCTATTTCTATAATCAATTTGGCAAATGCTTGATCCAACTTCCATCATTTTCTCGGATTGAAAGTAGACATAAAAAATTAATGGAGTTTTTTTTATCTTTAAGTTGTACTATAATACAACAACAACAACAATAACAATAACAACAACAAAAAAAGCATTAATCCCACTACATGGGGCAGGCTACGTGAATCTTTTTTCTCCATTGCGTCCTATTTAGTGTCATATTTTCATTTAGTTCTAATAAATTAAGATCATTTCCGTTTGAGGCAGCTTATGCGTTTCAGGATAAGCTGCTTATCCTGAAATGCGGCCCGCTGGCCGACCCCCGAGGTCGACTGAATCCCACATCGGGGGGTCGGCAACATGAATCGCTTTTCTCCATTGCATCCTATTTAGTATCATATTTTCATTTAGTTCTAATAAATTAAGATCATTTTTTACACAATAAGCCCAAGTCTTCCTAGGTCTACCTCTGTCTTTCTTAACATAAGTCAAATCTAAAACATCTACTCTCCTAATCAGATCATCAAATGGTTGACACTCAATGTGACCAAACCATCTAAGACGACTTTCTCTAATTTTGTGCGTCGCAAGAGCTACACCAATACTATCACAGATATATTCATTTTGCATTTTGTCTC